GGAAAACAGGGTAATAAAGAAGTTGCCCTTGTGTTATTCTGGGATGTTTCCTTGACTTCCCCCTCCAGTCCTTGATAGTTTTTTAGGATCAGCCAAAATAAGCTATACTGCTGTAGCCTCAGGTAGTATATTTGTCAGATGAAAGAACAGCTGATTTCTACAAGTATAGGAAGCAAAGAGCTTTTATTCGTTTATTGGTTTTGCTTTAATGTACAGAACATTTCTTGAGGTTCGTGGTGTAATTCAGAAGTGGTGGGAAAGTTACTCTTCCCTTAGATGAAGAATTCTGAAAAGATGTCTGAGTGCTAGCCTGTGTAGGGTTAATTTCTCATGTAATTAGGAAAGAAATAGAGCTAAAACTTATAATTTTTTTTAAAAAAAACACTCCATTAATGGAAACTTGACAACTGTTGGGTTGTTGTTTCAAAGATATTTGCCTACCTAATTAGTGAAATAGAATGACCATAAGGTAAAGGTAAAGGTTCCCCTTGCACATTTGTGCTAGTCGTTCCCGACTCTAGGGGGCGGTGCTCATCTCCGTTTCAAAGCCCAAGAGCCAGCGTTGTCCAAAGACCTCTCCGTGGTCATGTGGCCGGCATGACTAAACGCTGAAGGCGCACGGAACACTGTTACTTTCCCACCAAAGGTGGTTCCTATTTGTCTACTTACATTTTTGCATGCTTTCAAACTGCTAGATTGGCAGAAGAAGCTGGGACAAGTAATGGGAGCTCACTCCGTTATGCGGCGCTAGGGATTTGAACTGTTGACCTTTCTGATCGACAAGCTCAGCATTTTAGCCACTGAGCCACCATGTCCCTCAGAATGACCATAGGTGGGCAAAAATCAGTGGGAGCAACATCCTGCTGGCTTTTCCCGGGAGAGAATGTTGGAAATGTCAATCACATGAGCATGGCTGACTGTGGCAGCGCAGAGGCATAACATCACTGATCAAATAACATTGCCAAATTTCCATCCCACAGGAGTCAAGGGTCCCTGATTTGAGATGTAAGTTAGCCTATCT